CCTACAGCTTATGATAGGATGTACCCTAGAGCCCCTGTAATTCAGTGTTGTCTGCTGAGGCTGTGAGGCTAGAAATCCATAGAATCATTGATATCCACATGCCCTACAAGGGTAAAGTTAGATCAGGATTATCCATCTAGTAATCATAAAGATATCAGTCATTTGTTCCATGTCTTGAGTAAAACATACAATTTATCCTACATACAATGGGTATACAATGACTCCTTAGCTTGATACTGTAGATTGTATTCCCCTAGGATGTTACCTTCAAGGTGAGCCCCATATTACCCATTTCCACTAAGTATATTTGAAGATACACTCTAAGTTGAGCTGGATCATTTTCCAATGATGGGGTCATATAGACCTAATTGGACCATTTTACAGGTGGAAATCTCATGAAGAAAGACTGACTAGTGATAGTTTCAAGCCCACCAATGTTTAGATTCAAGCCCTAGCCATTGTGCAGTTGAATTGAGTTAACAACATTAATGATTGAGTTAATGACAATATTGAGTTAATGAGTTTTATTAATATCTCTTAAACAAATGAAGATATTGATTAGCGGTTTGTACTGGGATCATTTTCCCAACATTCCGCAACTTTTTCATTTTTGGGGGTGGAGGGGTCGGGGAACATGTCGGGCGCGTCGGGCAGGCGTCGGGGGAGGGCGGGATCAGTAGATGGCATTGATTACCCTGCCACTGTGTTGCGATCAGTAACTTTCATCAGAAATCAATTTATTTGATGTGAATTGATGAAGAATTGAGCTTACCAGCGAGTTCAACGTCGAGCACGACGTTGATGGACTGTTTGACAGCGGCGGTGGGATGTCTGGCAGTGGTCGGGAAGCAGATCCGAGGGCCGACGACAGCGGGCGGCGATCGGCGACGTCAATCAGTGATCGGTGACATAAGTCACGATCGTGACGACGACGCCGAGGCCATCGGGCGGCGGCGGGCACTGGGCGCAGTGGGCGGGGGGCGGGGAGGCAGCCGGGAGGGTGATGGCAGCCTCTGGGGCTGTCTCCCCGCTACCAAGACTGGCCTTGGTAGCCGTATTTAGCGGGGGTGCCCGCTACTGGCTCAACCCCCTCTAGTTAGAGGGAGAGAGTACCCCCCTCTATCCCTCTAACTAGAGGGTCTTAGGGTGCACCATAGGTGCTCCCGTGAGTCCGTCTAGTTCAAATCGCTCTCCGCTGACTATTGTAGCTGTATGGCGCATGTCATAAATCTTGCAACGCAAGCATTCATTTCGACTTACAGCAAGTCCGCACATTTTGATCCCAAAAATCCCGAGAATCATCTTCCAAACATGAACGCTGAGGTACGCGATGAAATCGGCCTTATTCGGGCAATTGCGGTCAAGGTACGGACATCATGGTACTGATTAAAGCCGTGACATGCTGACTCCAAAGCAGGAGCGGTCTTCCTCCAAGCGCAAGGAACTGTTTCTCAGGATCCAGTCAGAGGCGGTCAATCGGTGGAAACAGGCTGCCCTGCTCCAAGGAACGACGTCGCTATCACCAGATCCGGGTCCGCCAAAGCAACTTGTTCTCGATATGAAGGTCCGATGGACTTCAACCCGGAACATGACACTGCGAGCAATTGAGAAACGAGAGGTCTACATCCATTTTGGCATGAATTATACATCTGACAATTCAGTAGTTCATCCCAGAGTTTCTGGACTTGCTCACGGCCCAAGCAAGCACAGCCGACGAACGAAGTAAGCTGCGTGCATTAAAGTTGACCGGAGATGAATGGGAGCGAGCTGTCAAGTTCGCGAGCTTGTTGGAGGTACATGATCTTCGTTGCCAGTTTTCATATTCCACAGCTTACATCAAGTTTAGCATGCGGATCGTGCACAGCAAGCTTTCTCATCTGGGACGACCCCTACCCTCCATAACGCGATTCCCGCTCTGGAAGCACTCCACGCCGCATGGACCAAACGAGCATCAAGCGAAACATTCCGAAGCTTCTGGCCTGCACTCGAAGCTGGGGCAGCAAAAATCAACGAGTACTACAATAAAACAGCGAAATCATCTGCCCACGTTATTGCGATAGGTGACGCGTCTCCGCAGCCGTACAAGCGCAGTTCTCATCCCAGTACAGTGCTTGACCCTAGTCAAAAGGGACGATACTTTGCCAAGAATTGGGGGACCGAACTGGCGGCGGAGGCACGTAAGACGGCAGAGCAAACTGTACGTTCCCTACCTGGTGTAACTGCTATTCACAGTCGGGTTACAGTTCCGGGAGCGGTGGGAGAAACTGAATGGGACTCCCGCAATACGGCCAGCAGTCACAGTCAAGCCTATCAGTGACGAGTCAGGGTCCCACGCCCGCTTGTCGTTGCTCCTCCGCGAACTTTCTTCAGCTGATACTGTGGATGACACTGATGACGAATCAATGCACGAAGATCCCGAACAGCCATGGCTTGACGAGTTCAATGATTATTATGATTCTCGCCCGGAGATCATTCCCAAGGAAACACCTTTGGCTCGGTGGTGGGGGGTGAGTTGGATTTGCCTTTAATCTTTGGTTTGACTGACATTCTGGCAGTGTACGCTTGGGCGGTTTCCGACATGGCGGTCCCTCGCGCGTGATCGTCTTGCAGTCCAAGCCTCATCTGTCTCAAGCGAACGGGCATTCTCCGCGGGGGGTATCACCATTAGCAAGCGGCGCAATCGGCTGCAAGGTGATATTGTGGAAGCCCTTCAAATATTAAAATCGCTCCATCACTCTCCTTCGATCTTCCGCAATTCGGCACCAGATGACAACGACAACGACAATACTGTTGATGGGTCTGAATGTGACGTTGAGGGTTGGGACTGCTTCCTCGATGATGCACCGGAGAACTATGATTCATTGACTTTATAATAGGTACATTTCGGACATGTAGCAGTCGTAGAATAATAAGTTTTTAATGATCAATTTCTTATCTAAAGCCATGGCTTAGGCCAAAGCCAAGCCAAGGCCAGGCCAAAGCCAGTCAAGTTGGCCTGGCTTGGAGTTTCCTCAGGCCAAAGCCATTGAAAGCCGGGCCAAAGCCATGGCTTTCGGGCCAAGCCAAGGCCAGAAGACCACTAGTTCGTTTCAGCAGCTGTACACCACACTCAGTCCACGGCGGTCAGCAAGCAAGTCTTGTAGCAAAGACCCGTAGATATTGCAGCCTTAAACGCTGCGCTTAACGCTAATCGTTGAGCTTGCCCAGTTTGAGTCGACGTCGCAGGCGTTATGTGGAGCGAAAAACGCGGAGTGGAGTGCGGAGCCGACAGCGACACCCCCGTACATGACGTGGACGTCATGCATGCGGAAGATGCCCTTAGATTGGGGTCAAGGCCGTAGTCGACGGCGAGCAGCGACGTCGTGGTGCCAGTGAAAGAAGGGACATGTTTGGCTTGGCGTCGCGTACACGTGGCGCTCACGTCATCCGCTTACGCCATCCACGGCTTGTTTTCTACCTCCATCTCGGCTTCGCGTCCTCGCCCGCACCATCGCCTGCCAGCTACTTTGCTGTCCGGGTACAACGACTCGGAGGAGGGCGAAATGTACCTGCTACTGTGACCGTGTGGTCCGTGTTAGAACGCTGCATTTCGCTCAAGCGATGGTTGACGCGCGCAGACGGAGGCACAAATGGTGCGTCTTATTCTGGCTATATGCCTGGCTTACCGATGCCGCGCTAACTGAATGGCGGCTCAATCTGTCAAGTCCGCGAAGAGCATCGATCTCGGGCGACCGTCAACAACCCCGCGATCTGTAACTCACGTTCAAGCTTGAGGATTGCCACGGGCCGTTTCTTTCGTGCCGAATGACGTTGGACGCTGGGTGTACGCTAAGGTATCGCGGATAGAAGGCCAGAGTACGGTAGTGGGGCCCAGCAGGTGCGTGGCTGGCTGGCCCGCTTCCTCCTTGACTCATTCAATTTGACCGCTCATCTCAGCTCGCTCGCCTCCTACGACCTTCCTCAGGTTACTCCCTTCCTCTGCCAGATACAACGCTCATTCCAGCGGGTACTACTATGTACTATCGGGCGCAGGGTACGCAATTGTGATCTGCTGTAGGGCTATTAGTCAACAACAAATCTTTCCAGCAAGACCCTCCCTCCGTCTCTCACCCTCATCACATCCCACAAGCGACAACCATCCGCATCCCCAAGCACCCGCCCGCTCCGGCCATCCCTGTTTCACCCTCCCTTGTCGATCAGGCCGATACATAGAGCAGAAAGTGTTGCATGACTCTGAATGCTGCACCACCATCGTCTCCGCTCGTTGGAAAACTCGACATCACACTCGACTACGCTGCTATCGTGCGACTCTGGCGCGGCTCCGCTGATTATCCGCGATGCTGGATTGGAAGTCCTTTATCTAGCATCAGAGATAATCAATTCGGCGGCGCCACGGTGGGCTGCTGTGCGCCTTATTGCGTCCGCTGGGACTGGGCAGCCCGCATTCGTGCGCAATGTCGGGGTCTCCGAACAAGCGGAGAAATTGTCGCCGCTGGGCGCTCGGTTTGTCTGGCCGCGCTACAAGCAAGACGGACGATGAGGAAGATGGAGTGGTGTTGGTTGGCGCAAGGCCGGTGCTCGTCGTGAGCGCGCGGTCGTCGCTGATGGATGCAGGCAAAGAGGGCAGGAGGGAGGGTCGCGCTGGGAGAGTGAGCTGTTGCTGGGGAATGAGGGAAGATGAAACGCGGCTTTTATACGGCTTGAGAGTAGGTGGGCCCACATTCCATGATGTTCTAGCGCGTTCGAATGTGCTCATCAATCCTATTGTTATTTTATTCACATGTGTCCACAAACGCACAACGCGCTACATATATATCTTGTTCAGCACGAAGCCGCCGGTGTTCTAATAATGTCTTATGTGGGTGAGGTGGTACACGGCCCGCGGAGCTGGAACACCGTGACTAACTGCTCATCGAGCGACTAACACAATAGAATTCAACTCTGCCAATAACCAAACGATATGACAGCACGACAAGAACCATACAACGGCAATCGGACATCTATGACTCGGACAGCTCCGGGCCAACGGTGAGTGTCCACGCCTTCTGAGGGTATTCCTCATTTGTGGCTTTCAAGGCGTAAAAGTATGTGCTATTGAGAGTTTTCAGATGCGCTATAGCATATTCTCCGTCAAGGTCTGCGATCTTGTTGATGTCGAGAGCAGTGTGTATGAGAGCGAGGACACCGATGACGGTGTAATTCCAGTCCTTAAGGCGCAGCCGGTGATACCAGCATACGTGGTTGCCATTCTCGTGGATGACTTGTACGTCTATCCGCTCGGCGATGGACTGGGATTGCGGCAATTTGGCGTATGTGCGGTCGGCGCCGAGCTTATGCTCAACACTGGCCATGAAATCTTCTAGTTCGGCCGAGAAGTTGAGTGTGCCACGCAACGGGAGAAGGCCTGATTTATGATCATAGATCAGCTACATCTCAATCCGTAGGCGGGGAAACCGCAGTCTGCGTACCATCATTACGGTTCAGCAGCTCTGGCGGTGTTGTCATGTTCAACGGGGGAGATTAAGAAAAGCGAGGTGCCCCTTATATGGTACAAACAAAAGCGGTGTCAGAATCTAGATATAACATTCAGAACTGTCTTACAATATGACTTGGACGGAATTGGAGGACATGAGTCGGAGACAGCATAGCTTCGCATGCACAGTGGCGAGCTTGAGTCATACTCTGGTCAGCAGTTAGACTCAGAGGGTGCATACATGGGGGCCCACTCACACGCACCAACTTAATATAAACGGCGTTGTTAAGCGCTAGCGAGAAGCAAGATGGATATAGCAGCCGAATGTCCCATCCCTTTTCCGCCCTTTGGCGCCAGAAGTGCCCTGTTGATCCTAAGGGTGTGCGCGCGAGATAGATTCCGCGTTGATTCGGAAACCGCGCCGCCACCATGGCCTTCTGGGTTCGTCCTCGTGGAGCGGAAGATGGAGTGATAGTCATCCGTCACGGTTACGCCGAGCCGGAAGCCGATCAAGACTCACACGCTCTCTCAGCGCCTCCACGACGACACGCAATGCCGGACGTGCATCCAGCGCAGTACTTCACGGATGCTCAAGAGGGTTGGCATGGGTGTTTGGCGCGTGCATGCCGTTGTTTTCATCCGCATACCTGGCTAACTCGTTGGAAGAGTTGTATAGCTGAGCGTTTCCAAAGCATACAGTATTCTGGGGCGCGACACGAGTTTCTGCGGGAGGTGGTTGTGTGAGACCAACTGCAGCGTGGATAGCACTGCCATTGTCAGATATGGAAGGCGGATGGGTACTAAAAGGAAGCTGGCCATCAAGTCTCCCGCTTGGGCCGAAGGTTGAAGCAGGAATCGAAGGGTACAAGTGGCGGAAGGATGACGCGGGGTTTGCGTCACCCTCACGGTCTGGTGCGTCATGCCTTCCGGACTACTGGGCGCTTGCCAACCATATTTTTCCTCCTTGTAGCGCCACAACACAACAACAACAGGTTATAGACAATTATAGATGTACGTATCTCGCTGCGCTTGGTTCCTTTTGCTCGATCAACGCTTAAAGCACAGTGCATTAAATATTAATACTCGGAATGCCGAGTTACTTTGCCTACCACTCTTGACCTCCGACCACCACCATGGCTCCTCTCATCGACTTCCCCACCGAAATCCTCTCCAAAATCTTCGACCACTGTCTCGCCTTCAAGCCCGACGTCTACGAGTCTGTGCGCCATACATCGCTGGGTGCCCTCGATTGCCCGCTGCTATGCCAACTCGCGCTCCGCTCTCTTGCGGGCGGCGACCTTGCCACCCTCGAGCAAGTCTGCTCCCGCTTCCGGACCATCGTCGTGGGCACGCCCTCTCTCTGAGCGATATCACGCTGGATATGCACGGCTTCCATGCGCCCGAGGACCTCCAAAGGCTCCAACTATTCGACTCCTTCAATCCTGGACAGTCCCAATTGCTCTCCGATCGCTTCAAGCAGGAGGTTAAGCACCACCAGATGGTGATCAGCCTGCTTCAGCGTGCCCTGACGCGGAGCCAAAGCATACCCCTCACGTTGACGGTTCGCTCTATGAGCGACTTTCAGCCGGGTGCGCTGTCTTTGCTCGCCGTGCAGTCGTTTCGCTGGGAGAGTGTCACGATCGATGTGCCCCGCGGCATGCACAAAGAGCTTGCGCCGCTGGACCGCGGCCTGCCGATGCTGAAAACACTCCGAATCACGCCGGCGTACGACCCGACGCGGATCACCGGCCTCCCGCTCGACATTCCTTTGCTTGCTGCCTTTGCCTCCGCGCGGAACCTGACACGGCTCGAGTATAGTGGCCCGCTGAAGCCTCTGGCAGAGGCCGGCATGACTCATGTACAGCGGGTGAAGATCGGCCCGTTGGGGGGCTGTTGCAGTTCATGTCCCAGCTGCCGGTTGGCGGCACACTGTCCCTCGACATGATCCTCCTTGCATCGGAGGCTGATCTGTCCCAACTCCGCCAAAACCTCAACCACTCTCAGAGCGAATCCCACATCTTGAAGCTAAAGCTGATCCTCTCTGACCACGCCCGCCCAGCGGCAGTCTCCCCACTCCTTGAGCTATTCTTTGGTGCTGTTCCGTTGCCTCACTTGGAGGGCCTTGCCATTCACACACCGGAGTACGTTGACGCGCCGCGGTGGCCCTCTCGTGCTGCCCTCTACATGCTTCAACCCGCAAGCAATACTATGCGCGAGCTCGATATCGTGGACATCAATATTACTCTAGCAGACTTGCTCCGCCTCCTCGCTTCACTGCCATTCCTCGAATCACTTGCAGTAGGAGACCAGGAGCTCCCCGCGGCGCCACTCATCACCGACACCTTCTTTTTCGCCCTGCTCGCCGATGGGGTCGGGGAGCAGATCGCGTCGTTGCGGCTCTGGACGTGCAGGGCGTTCAGCAATGCCATGCTGCAAGAGTTTATCGCCCGACGGGAGAGTGGCAAGCGGTTTAGGCTGGCGCTCACATGGGTGCCTGGGACAAAGCATGTCTTAAGCGATGAGTTGCTGGGAACAATTCAGCGGGAAAAGGAGAGAGGGACTCTGGTATTTGAGTGTGGGCCGGTTCGAAGAGCTTGAGAATGCCGCTGCTTGATATTTTGTACTCAGTTATCCCCAATGCTCGATCAATGCTTGATGAGAGAGATCTCCAGTCAGCGCAATTCCGCCTCGCTCAATGCAAAACGCACCAGTATGTGGATGTATTGAGGGAGAGGTCACGGTGTTCACCCAAGGCAGGGACCGATGTATGCTGTCGCGTTTCCCCCCGTGCCGTCGAGCGAAAATAGCAAATGTGTCCAAACATCATATGGTCGTTTGGGAGAAGCGTTCGACGCCCAACGGGCACTACGTGGCAGCACGTTCCTAGTGCAAGAAAATGGCGTCAAAAGAAAACCAGCCGACAGTTGCGAAGAATCCCATTAAAGCCGTCGCGCGTTGGCCAGTCGAACGCGCAGCCCCTGGGTTTGTTCGCCTGGGAATGCTACAATTGTGAGGGCTACTGCTGGGCAGATACGGCTTTCCATAGTGGGCTTTGGATGCGCTTTCACCTGAGAGCCGCCACGGCGGCCGCGGGGCGTCGTAAGAGTGGGGCAGCAGCAGGACGAGAGAGACGAGTTTATTGCTCCCAGCATTGCAATCAATCGTAGGACGTACATGGCGAGGTATATGATAATACGCGAGTCTCACGGATGGGAGTCAGCACGGGTCAAGCACAACTGCACAAGTGGGAAACGCACCCAGCCCGACGACAGTTCCCAATGGCACTCAGGCTGCCAGTACGAGTGCGCCGTTGATCATGACCCTCGGTTGCGCTGAATTTGGGATAAAAGTCGGCGGCAGGTCACCAGGCTGGTGACTGGTGATCTGCCGCCGTTGCACTTGTTGCGGGTGTAGCTGGGCCGGCCGCGCGGTCTTCGACAACGCCCAGGACAATACAGTCGAGCGGCATAAAGCATGATAACTGGGCTTTTGTTAGCTTGCCGCTATGCAGAATGACAAGGACGACGCACCCGATACTGAGCCGCAAAGTCATAACACCTGCTCTTCCACCACTTGCAGAACCCACTGCGAGAACTTGAAGAATGTGTACACCCTCAAAGCCCCCCGCCTACTGCCCCAAGGCCCTCCCAGCTGCTGACATCAGCCCCGGTTGCCGCGCGTTGCAGCCCGTAGGTCGTCCAGCTCCTGCGCTCTGCAGAGCATTCTCGTTAGGCGTGGGCGAAGAGGAAGGGAGGTGGGCGAAAAGAAGCAAGTCGGCCGTGATTGACAAGCGGCGCACGGACCAGCGACGATCGCACGTGCTCGGGTCCCACGTCAAACACATCTTCTTCCCGGCCACCATGTGCGACTGCCCGCGTCGGTCCAGTGCGCGCCGCGAGATGTCGGTGCCCCGCATAACAGCCAACGTCGGAGCCTCTGTTTCACCCCTGCCGTCCGGCGGCTTCAACTTGGCGCCGCTCGTGGCAGCTGAGAGCTCTGTCGGGCCGGCACAAAGGTCGACGTGTTCCTCGCGCACGCGAAGGCTCTCCATCGCGTACATACCACGCGCTACTGAAACGCGAGAAAGGTGTGTCATATTATACTAGTCCTCTGTCTTCTCGCACATTCGCACAATAGGCGCTGAAGAAATACCATGATTACCATCCATCGTGGCTTGCATCCTGCCAGTGCCTCCTTCCTCCCATGACTCTCTCCATTGTCTTGCCGCCGCCGCTAGCGCGCTGCTGATACGATGCGGCGCTACTCGCGCCAGTCCCATCGCCGCTTCCCATCGCCCCAAACAACTGTGCTCGTCCCGTCTCGGAAGCAGCGACGCTGCAGCAAGATGCATAATACATAGAGTCCGCTACTACTCAGTTCATCCCTTGTGGCCCGACTCCCCACTGCTGTTCGACGATGCAATGGCGCAGGCACAGGCGCGGCGTGCTTTGGAAGGACAACACGTCTGACGGTCTAACTATCTACTCAACGACTATGGTCTTGCCTGCCGCACCTCCGTCTTGCTAGTGAGTCGGTGACGGGTTCTCTGCCGGTCGTGGACTCTATGCCGAGCGCCGCCTCCTCATCCGACTTCAAGATGATCTCCAACGCTATCGGGGCTGCTAGAAGCGGCTGTTGGCACGCACGCTTCTGGTTGTGGCAGGCAGCTGCAGCCACAGCCGCAGCTATTTGCACAACATGCTGGTAGTTCGCTCGCAGTTAGGCCGACAGCAGTGCGTAATACAAATTGGTCTTTCATCAAAGGGCCTGAATTCTCAATATTCTTGGCGGTGAAATTGTGACCGCCAAGCATCCATCTCTTCTCCTAACCACCACCACCCGCCCGACAATGCTCCCGAACGAGCTGTTCCTCGAGATATTCAAGCTTCTCGGAGTGGACGACCTCTATGTTGCCGGCCTTTCCTCACCACATCTTACCCACATCGCACACGCAGTCCTATCCTCTTTTGAGCAACACAAGCTCTCCTTCTGGCCGTACCTCACTCGCAAACAGCCATTCCAGGCACTGGGGGAGGAGGCAGCCAAGCGACTGCGCTACAAGCTTGCGTTCTATGCATCACCCCACGTTGCACCGCACGTATATTGCATCCATATTTCGCCTCTCTCCGACAGCACCGAAGACAAGCGCCACATAGCCTCAGCTTCTACCAACGTGGATGTGCTCCGGGATGAGCTGTTCGCTCTCCTCCATCGGTTTCCTAACCTTTCTCGAATCTGGGCTAGCGACATCACATTTACCAAGGTTGCTATCGACAATCTGCGCGTGCGGACCGGCACGCGACCAATCATCGAGAACGTTTCGCTATTTGATTGTGCGCTTTCCCCGGATGTTGTTCCGCATGTCCTGGACCGCCCCCTCGCTATATTAGATCTTCACAACAGGAACAAGCGGGACTCGGCACGCTGGCTTGCCGTTATCTTTCCACGAACCCTGGGCAGCATCAGCCTGCTTAACGTTGAAGACCTGCCTGGACCGGATTCTTCCCCACTCCCCATCTTCCCTGTGGTGAAGCACATCGGCCTCTCCATGCAATTTTTCCATCCCCTCACGGCACAGCACATGTCGGCGCTGCGACGCATGTTTCCGGCAGTCAAAGATGTCATCATTGAGCGCAAGTTCTACGATTATGATCGCCCAGCAACAGAATACCTTGCGCAGGCATTGGCTGTGACGACACCTGTGTTCCCGCTCCTCACGGAATACCGGGGACCATGGGAAGCCTTTCTCCTCCTCAAAAGTGGCACAGCTTTAGAGAGGCTTGAGTTGACGTACGACTCCTGTGATCCCGCGGCGTTGGTGCTGGGCTTGGAGCTCATCGGTGCACAGTTCTTATTGCTCACTAACATTGACTTACACCTGGAGCCACTCACAGGCGCCACTCTTGTCCGTCTGATGGCCTATTTCCCAGCCGCGAAGCACCTCGAATTGTCGCTGGAGTGGGATAATGATCTCTCACTACGACCACCATCCGAGAAGCTCAAGGAGGTGTGTTTTCTGGGAATCCATGTCGGACGATACTCAAGTTAACGTTCCATTTTAGTATACCATCTTTCTCTCTGCCCTCCCGGTCTGCCTTCCACAGACAATGGAGGGCCTACATATCTCAGCCAAGCTGGCTGTCGGAAATGCGTTACCTGAGCCAACCCCATCTTTAGACCTGCATGTGATGCAGACAGCCCTCCTGCTGAGGTGTGTCAATATGCAGTACATTTGGATCGAGGGGAACTTCTTCGAGCTTGGATGGAATGTCAATGGCGAAGAGACGGACGATTAACACCATTTAAACAACGACATAGTCTCGCAACTTCATTTTAATTCCAACTTGTATTCAAGGCTACTTATCGTATGCGGGAAGGTGGGCATTTTGGAGTCGGTCCTGAGTGTGTAGTAGTGGTTAAGTTTCAATGACGATAAGAGGAAACAGATGGCATCTGGCAGTAGGATTTTCGTAGATGGCATTGCAGACCAGCACTAGTTCGGCACTCGTTGACGACGAGGGGAGATTGGCATGTCGGAGAATTCGAAAGAGCCAGGCTTATCGTCGCTGGTATCGTTGGTCATGATTCGACTTGCCTTGATGCCATCTTTTTCTTCCTGCCGCGGCTCCGGCGGCACAGAGTAGAGCGTTGGTCTGCGTGTATTGTGCACGATTGAGACGGGTAGAGATGTGGCACACGGTCGGGACGCAGGACGGAGTGCAGTTCTGCCATTGGTCAACTCGGAGCTCGGAAGGGCGCTCCCTGCAAGGCGACGCTAACAGCCAAGTCCGTCGAATGTATCAGCGACGATTCAACGTACTAGTAGTGAAGCCAGATTGGTCGATAGATAGCGCCCATGCATCTGGTTGACGAAGGGGGACCGCGTGGTTGCAGCCGCGAGGCCAAGGTCTTTGGAGAGCGGCGACCTAATAAGATGTCTTGTTTGTGGAAGACGTTGAGCGTGCGATGGGTGGCTCTGGCAAGATTGGCCAGGATATGATTGTTCAGAGGTGGGAACAGAGTCGGACGCCGGAGGAGCGTGTGTTGCGTCCGAGTCGAGGGTGGTGGAAACTGGTGGTATCACTAAGTATATTCGGATGAGCTGGCGCTATGGCTTGCGCATCTTTCCAGAAGTAAGCAATGACACGGAAGAGAATAGCTCTGCAACGCACCCTTCCGCGTTGCTGACCTCTCATCTCCGCCCCCAGGCCCGCTTCAAGGATGTCTGGCTGCCGCCGTTCAAAGCCCAACCGCGCTCGTGTGCTGGCGGCGCTCGCAGTCGCGGTCGTGCAGGAAAATGCGGGGGAAATGAGTGAATAGGCGGCTTGGGCGCGGCGCCCCCAACCTGAACACGAGTCGCAGACGCGATACATATGCACAGAGAAAGAACCTGCGTGCCGGTGTATTCGCAAGGGGCTGGACCCCGGCCGCTAGGGGAGAGCGTTCAGTAATCGGTGAGACCAGCGGCAGGATAACTCACCATGGAGTACCGCAGAAGCTTTATAGTCCGGGCAGCTTGCGCCCCTGCCGTTGAACTTGCTCCAGCCTCCTTCGCGTTCTGGCTCGAAAGTGTCCATCGCCATGAGAGTCGCCGTCACTGTCGCGTCGGAGTCGTCCAGCAGCGCGAGCAGCCGTTGCCGGTATCAACCATGACAATTAGCAGCGCGCGCCGTGCTCAACGCGCGAGGCTCCGTTCGGCGTTCGCGACATGGTCGTCAAGAAGCAAGAGGCGCTTGACGTGGCACGTGCGTGACGGCAGGGTCCGTGCGCGCCACGTCAATCACGCGCGGATCCTGCCCTTCTTCCTTCCCTTTCCCCCTCCGCCGAAGCGAGCGCCTGGCTCGTTCCGCCGCCCCAGGGCGAAAGACTGGATGGATCCACGGCGGCCAGGGCTAGGATGACCTCGCGGGACGCCACTGCGTCTTTTCTTGTGCTGGCGCTCACTGTTGCGAGCTCAGCTGCTTGTACAGTGTCTGGTTGCCTTCGCGGGACGGGTAGGCGGACTCGGTGGATGGGGATGTCTTGCCGCGATGGGAAGGATGTAGAGATGCGGGCGCGGAAAAGGAGACAAGTAACTAGGTGCGTTTACAGTTCCTCTTCGCCGTGTCGTTCGCTGACGGGAACTTTATAGCTCATGTACCGCTAGAATGATAAGACATTGCACTTTCCTTCTGCGCCAATACCACGGGGAACTCAAATGACGCGCGTCAGTTGATTGTCTGGCGATTGCAAGAAGAGTATGCACTTTCCAAATTCCGTGATTTTCTGTCGCGCGTGCCGCGACCTTGCAGTCCTTCGGATTTGCTATGGACTCCACGGGCATCTCGTTGATGATACTCGCCTCCCCGACCAAGATCTCCCGCGAGACTAACGCGCTTCCCCGCCAGCAATGTGGTCGTCTATGCCCAGGCTAAGGCCACACGATATAACCACGGGCTCCGCATTGCTAGTGCCTTTCGGGAGCCGCTTGTGATTTAATTTCGGCGGCGCTTGAGGAGGACAGGCGCCCTGTACCCGGGCAAGCGCTGGCCGTCTTGCCACGCCGGCGCGGGGCTCTCTTTGTAAGCGGTTGTAGGGTAGCCAGGACAACGCTGGAGGACGTTGGACGAGGGCTTGCCGGTGCCGTTGTCAATGCGCCGGAGAATCTGCATAGGGAGGGCAGGGCGAACAGGTACGGCTCATTCGTCATTTTCCGCCGGCGTTCAACAACGGGCACGCACGCGCACCTGGCTGCGTGAGCTGTCCTGCTGTACGGGGGTCACGGTCGCAACCGGGCATGTCGGCGCCTCCGCCGTTGCGGCGTCGGACCTCTGTTCGACCCGCCACTGGCGAACGACTCGGGCTGAGTAATGACCCCATTGGCCGTCAGTGGTCAATTTGGCCCCAGACTCAGGGTTTCCCGGATCGCACGCAGGGATGGATGGTCAGCTTACCCGTCAAACACACTCTTCTGCGCGCTTACTTCGTTCCAGAGACCCGCAATATCGGCGCAACGTCGAATCGTTGCCCGCTGCCGGGTTGATGTCAGTTTCGCGGCAAGCAGATCCGACTTGGGCCTGGACCGACACGTGTCCTGATCGCTGACGAGGAGGGAGATCGATCGACGACGCCGCGGCGCGTCCTGCCCTGTACGGCGGCGCGCGCGTGGACCACTGTTCCCCTACGGCGCGTCGAAGTTCGAACCCGCCTCCTCCTCCTTTGCCGCCGCCGCCGTTCGCAGACGCATCAGGTCGGGCAGGCGAAAACCCCTGGCGGGTGCCAGTATTGCGTGCTTACATACAGTTATATGGCTTGCTGAGGCGCATCTACCGCTGTTTCTCCCTCTTGTCGTGCAGTTAGAACAGCGATGTCCTTGAAGCTATTCATTGCAGTCACAGTCGCGCCCACAAAAAACTATGCCGTGTATAAAGGATCATAACAAACACTATGCTCGGTTCTCTCCCCAGCCGTCTTTCCTAGTCGACACCACCTCAATGCTTACCTTCTTCTCTTCTTTCCCGAGCACGCCACACCTTCCGTGTCTGAAGAACTGGCAACCCCGTCCTGTGATTTGCTGAAAGCCACGCCCCACGGGGGCGGCATCTCTTGCTGCGACAGAGTCTGCTGCAGGGCTCTTCGTTAACGTCAGTCAGGTACTCGTTTTCAGTGGAAGGAAAGCCAATACCTGGAATTCAAAGTATGATGATGTCTCGCATGTGGCGCATAAGTGGGGGTTGGTGTGGCGTGTGCAATCGGTCGTATGGTTTGAAAGGTTGGGATTTGGGGGATTTGCCCTAGCGACAACGGGGGGACAGGTCGCGCCATTGCCTCCCGCATTCCCGGAGAAGGGGGTGCGCTAAATGGCGAGAGACGGGTAAATGTTGGTGGTGGCAGGATCGGTGGCAAATAGATCGTGTATTTGTCTGTGGGGGTTGGTGTGCGGGACGGCGGATTCCCTCGAGGGCTAGACATATCAAGGATGTGAGATGACTGAAGTGTGGAGCGGCAAGTAACGCACTGGGACATAACTCGCCGGAAGGTGGGATCGTGAAGGAAATGGGGAGATTCAGGGCGACTTATATAGCTGTTCGGTGCTAATGTACCCACATGTGGGCGGACGGCCGACAGCCCAAGTAGAGTCACTATGATGCTGTTGTGGGTAGTCGCCTTGACTCCATTGTTTACGCAAAAGTGCCAAAACACAACAGTCAACTTAGAAAGAACGGGCGAGGGGGAAATTCTGACGCCATTCGTGAGCGCAGGCATTTTCACTGCGCTATGAACAACCGACCTTGGCAGCGTCGACATTTACCAGCCGCGAAAACACCAGCTCCGCGCACTGCCTTCGCGTCCTGGATCATGATAGCCTATGATGATCAGCTGTGTGTGGGTACGTGCGAAGAAACAACAAGACTCACGCAAGAAGCCGATAGAACATCGGAGAACGTGGGTCCCCACACCGCCCGCAGACCATCTAAAAGCCGCACCGCGTGCTCATCAGTTCCCCCACAACAGCGCACCTTCCAGCGCTTCGCTCCCTCCGTCGCTCCCTCCTTGGATTCACCTGCAACAACCGGTACCGCCGTTATGCTCACGACGAACCTCAGGATCCGCCCCGCCAGCACCTCCAGTCTTCCTTCCCCGTTTTCCAGCCGCGGTGTCGAACGACTACACGGACGGGCACAAAGGACTGTACCGCAACAGTGTCTCTGCTCGTTGTACGACCTGCGATCGGGCTTGATCGCGGGTTGCCAACCAGCAATAGCGCCGAGTTTCCCGAGCAGAGTCGGTACTTGGCGCCAACTTTGAGCCACGGACCCACAGCGCTCTGCGGGCTATCGCGGATCTCCGTCTCCCATTCAGCGTTGGCTCCACCAGTCACAGTGACGTGCGCACCCGTTGTCTGTATCGTCGAGCGGCATGCGCAGTGGGGAGGTCGGCCCGCAAAGGAGGAAATGAGTAGCTGGCGAGCAGCGGATATGCATCTTGCTGCAGCGTCGCTGCCTCCGAGACGGGGACGAGCACACAGTTGTTGAGGGTGACGGTGAGCAGCGGGGAAGGACGTCAGAGCGTCTCGGCAGCGCGCGAGTGGCGGCGGCCATAGAGAGAGTCGTGTGGTGGGCGGAAGGAAGCAGGATGCAAGCCACGCGGGTATTCCCCCACGTCTTAGCGCCTGTTGTATGGATATGTCGGAAGACAGAAGACCAGTGTACTTAGTATATGACGCACCGTCCTCGCGTTCAGTCGGGCATGGTACGCGTTCGCGCGTGTGAGGAACACGACAGACTCGGAGCTGCCACGAGCGGCGCCAAGTTGAAGCCGCTGAACGGCAGGGGGTGAGAGAGAGAGCCTGCGATGTTTGCTGTTATGCAGGCAAAGACGTCGCACGGCAGACAGGACCAGCGCAGGCAGTCGCACATGGTGGCCGGGAAGAAGAGCCGTTTGACGTGGCAGCACGCACGTGAGATCGGCGCTGGTCCGTGCGCCGCACGTCAATCACGGCCGACTTGCTTCTTTTCGCCCACCTCCCCCTTCTTTTTCGCCTGCTCGTTCGCGCTCAACGAGGGTGCTCCGGCCAGCGCAGAGCTTGTACAAGGTGTAGGTAACAACGCATAGGAGGTCGGGTGTATAGGCGAGGGTTTTGAGACGAGAGGGACGAGAGCCAGAGCTGAGAGTATGGCGTGGACAGTTGTGGGCAAGAGGTGCGCTGCTTACTGCTAGTCCTGACCTGACTTTGACTGTGCTTGTTACAGGCGGCGGCGGTGGCTGCACCACGAAAAAGAAGAGCGTCTTGCTGTATGGGGCCCGACGCGCAGCTTATCGTGACTCATGAGGTGCGTCGTATTCGTCATTTTCCACAATGCGAATCCAGTCGTCTGCTAGGGCGCTGCTTGCTACAGCTGAGGAGTGAAGAAGTCGTCTTCAGTCTCGGTGCCGGGTGCGTGCGTGGCCCGCTCGCCTTCATTTGCGCTGACGCCTGCTAACGAGTATCCCTATCGTCATATAGCATACCTCGCTCAGCCTTTTGCAATACACAAATGTCTAATCCGCAGCCCAAATAAATTTCCACTTGCCGTCTTCCTGTCGCTGCTCCACTCTGACCACACTTCACCTCCGCCACACTCCTAAGTGTCACGTCCCTATCTCGCCTCGGCACGTCTACCGCAACCCGCATATGCCCAGCGGTGGCCCTGGCAGTAATCTGACCTCGAATCAACCTCTCGGGCAGCGCGTTCGACTCGCTGGCACGCAACGGCTTTCTGCGACATTATCCCTTTCCTTTTTGTTTCTTTCACTAGGAACATGCTGTGAGTCTGTGACGCGGTGCGCCGATTGGATGATGACTATTTTTGCCGCAATTCTGCTCATGCATTGGTGACTCCGAGTCTCCCTCACTTCCACCGTATACAGGTGTATTTTACCTCGAGCGACGCGGAAGTGCGCCGGCCGAAGTAGATGTTTGGCGCCCTTTCGGCTTCAACATGCTGCTCAAGCTTGACGAGCAGGGAGCCAAAGCGGCGCGAACAGGCCTCCGACTCGGAGTCGGGGCTGGGTTTGGCGTTGGCGTCGGCAATAGCAGTGGCCATTGGCGTCATTGAAGGCGCATGTTTGTCCCTCTTTGTGCTGGGAAGAAATGAATGGCTTGAGCCTTGTAAGTTGTTGTGTTGCGCCACCTTTCCCCACGTCTTTTGTGCTTTTTGCTAAACGTCCGCGTCTAGTTCAGCATCGAAATATAAGCTAGCAATGATATCATGCTATCTAACTTGTCGAATATTGTGGTGGCTCCTCCGCCTCCGTGTTTTCTACCCCATTTACCCTTCTCAGCTGTGACTCCACGAGCGCTACTCGTTCCGCCATCGCGAGCATCTGCTGCACCAGGACAGTGTTCGCAACCTCAACGGCTAGCACTGGCGCGGGCTCATTCACCTCTCTGTGACGTAGAACGCCGGCGAATCGCTGCCTTGTCGCTGACAGCTAGGGTGTCCTTCGACTTGTCAGGTCACGGTGTCCTTTAATTGGAACAAGGTCGGCCCGGAGAGGACACGACCTGTGACCACGCATGGCGCACAAACCCCGCTGACCTCCCACGCTACGCAGCGCTTCACACGCTAACACTTCTTGCTCCCAACCATGACTACCCAGCACACAGAAGAGGATACGCTGGATGGGCCACGTGTATTCTTTATGGATACAGCACCACCAGAGATGAAGTGGCTCGCGAAGCAGTTGCAGAGCAAGCGGAAGGATGTTCGGGCCGGCCGGGCGACAATTGATTCGAAGTGCGCACTGTGTCTGCAGGCTCCAGAGGGCGGTGAGGGAAAGCTTAGACGGTGTGGTAGGGTCCGTCATTGCTCATCAACCTGCCTCATATGGTGCTTATCCACTTGCAGTGTGGTGTTGCACAATACTGCTCAAAGAAGGTGTTCACTGATCTCAATTCCCTTGCAACACACTGATTTATTATCATCAGTGTCAGAAGGAAGACTGGTGCGTGCAAATCATTCTTCCCTGTGAGGAAATGATGATGATATATTCAATCTGCAGGCCACGGCACAAGACAGGCTGTCAGGAAGACAACTCCAAGCAATCTCTCTCCAGAATCACAACAACGTTCCATGCTGCAGATCTCATTTCTGCACAGCTGCAGTATGCTGTTATTGCTGCCTTTAATATGCTCTCCCTCTCTTCTGAGCAGCTCCATGACGGGCTCTTTGTGGTCAATGTCCACCTTGCCATGGAGCCTGCCAAGACAGTCGACTTGTTTGCTCTGAACATAGCCCTAGCAGAAGAAGAGCTTGGAATCAAGACCGTCCCAGAGTCGCTGTACAAAGTGCCCTCTGTGCCACAAGTCCACCATCTTGCCCCGCTCATGCCGGATCAGCATCCAACAACGTTACGCACTATGTGGGAAGATGCACGTGCCCAACTGGACCGTGATGGGATGCATGCCACCCCACTCGCTGTGTGTATTTATGCCAAGTCACACTCATTAGGAATGCTCAACATGGTGTCACTCCCCATCCACCCCTTTCACCTTGCCTACATGCGCACAGGCCCTATTATCCATTCCCGTGTCAACGGACAAGCATCTGAACGCCCGTATACTGTTGAGTCCTTAATTGAGTATGTATGTGCCTTTATGAGATTGTTCTGCTAATCTACCACAGCGTGATCAACAATCATATCAAGCATGATGAGAAGAATCAGTTGCATCTGCGCACACTCCTGTCACAGCGTGACATCCAGGTTATCAAGGACTGTGCGGCCCGAAAGGGCGCCACTGCAGATGCACTTGACCCTGCACATCCCGCCTATGCCGCAGCACTCTTGCACCACCGGTACAACCGCGAGCATGCACCAAAGTTGTTTGTTGTGCCACAGGCTCAGTAGAATTTGGAGCATCTCCTTCTCCTACTTGATATCACTCCAGATGTATTGTATACTGAATGAAAGCCTGTCAAGGATATCAAAAATAAGTACTTGCTTTGAAAAGAGTCTATGTAGTATGTAGCATTTAAGAAGTTACTTATTGGGGAGAGGTACACTCACCCTTTCCAACTGATTTGTCTCAATGTGGGTAACTTGAAATGCCTGATGCATTGATTGCGCTGGCAGCGACTGTGGTACGCTCACTCAAGATTTTTTTACGACTGCTTATCTGATCTAATAGATTCACTGTGCTCTTGACGAGTGGCAGACGGGAGAGCGACAAGCAATCAAGCTCACCGAAAATGTATACGAAGATATCTATAAGAAACACCGCTCGACTCTTCAACAGTTGAAGGCCAGTGCTCCAAATGCCTACTCGAGGTTAAGACGAGCGATCTATGATTCAACCACGTGAGTCTTGTCCTCGGGCCATGCCAGGCTGCTAACATATACTGTAGTATTTCAATCAATTCTGCAGCCCTGTGACCTGTGACACATGTGGCAGAAATGTGCAATTCAGCCAAGGGCAAAATTTGGTGTGACCTCCTGCCTTATATGGAAGTTCTGCGTGCCGGAGGCGCGGAAAAATTTGGAAATTACCATTTTGGGATAGTTTCGGACCAAACATATCTGCTGTGACCTGTGACAGGCAGAAAAATTTCGGCCAAAAATCTCAATGTGACTGTGACATGATTAATTGATCGAAATACTACAGTACCTAGTGCGTCAGCAGATGGTCAATCTAAGGGTACAACGGGACCTAGCCGTCTTCTGCAGATTATAGAGCTGCCGGACTCTGATTAGTTACACTTGTCTTCTGAGTCTATATAAAATGTGAACTGGGAAAAAGGAATTTAGAGAACAATATGAAAGTACTA